TCCCACAGCCCCCCGCCTTTGCTCCATGTCTCCCTGGTCTGCTGGGTGGTCTCTGTGGGTGCCCCCCCCCCCAGAAGACCAGGGAGACGTGGAGCAAAGCTGCGGAGGATGCGGGCGGCGGGACCGCGGCGTGTCTGGGCGGTCCTGCCGCCCGCATCCTCCGGGGCGAGAAAAGCCCCGTTCGTAACTACGGATCCGACATAAGTCGGATCCGCGTAAGTCAGGGACTGCCTGTACAGGATGATATTTACATCTCAAGAAAAACATCCTCTACTTGTGTTCATTATGTTTCCTCAAAAAATGTTTCTAAAAGGAGTTTATATTAATAGTAGGATTTGTAAAAAGCAAGTAAATATGTTAAATGCTAATCCTTAGCTACCTGGCAGTCTCCCTTAAAGGATGGGAGGCTCAAAATTACAGTCACTCAGCAAGATTACTGTTATAGAATCATAGAATCATAGAATAATAGGACTGGAAGGGACCTCGAGAGGTCATCGAGTCCAGCCCCCCGCCCTCAAGGCAGGATCAAGCTCCGTCTACACCATCCCTGACAGATGTCTATCTAACCTGTTCTTAAATATCTCCAGAGAGGGAGATTCCACCACCTCCCTTGGCAATTTATTCCAATATTTGACCACCCTGAATTTATTCCAATATTTATCACACCTTTCATGCCACTTCCAAATTCTGAAATAAATTCACGCAGCTGTTTCTCACCTACCAAAAGATTCATTTAAAGATTATAAACATAGTGGTATTTTTAGTTAGTTAAAATAGTTTAAAGAAATAAAGTTTAGCCCCCCACACTTCTTAAGTTTACTCTTCATTGCTTATTCAGTAGCAAATCCACTAGTCCCTGCTTAGGGGAAAGTTAGGAAGTCTTAAAGGATAAATGCTGCAGCCTGCAAATACCAACAATAACAAGATACATTACGGAACCACCAGCCACAACTGTGGGTCTTTGTGCCTAATGCTACTTGCAGACTGGAGACAGTTTCTTACCCATGTTGAATGGCTTCAGATCAGGTCAGATCTTCCCAGCAGCTTAAATCCTGGAATAAGAAGCAGTGTGACAGGAGAAGATTCCACAGAGAAAAGGCTAGTGTTGAGGGGTCATATATAGCAGTTTAGAGGGTGGGCAGGAGGAGGGACTGGCAGGGCAAGCTCTAAGGGGAGGTCCATAGAAAGGGCGGAAAGCATGTGGGAGGTGCCAGAACAGCACACCACCTTCTCCTATCCCTGCAAATACAGGGAAGCTACGAAGGTTGTGAAGGACTCTGCTGCTCCCTTCCCCAAATGCTGGGTAATGCAGCTGGTTCTGGTGCAGCTCCCTCCCACCTGTTTTTCCTCATACTCTGGTCATGTGCATGTCTCCTGCAGCCAATAGTTTGCTGACACTGAGAAAAGACAGGCTTTTACCAGTGAAAAGGAGAGGAAACAATTCTGTTCATAAAATTCTTGCTTCTGGGCACTATTTCAAGTTCTTCAGCAGGCAGTGAAATGCATGACCTAGTTACAGCTCCCAATTGTCTCTTGCTTGGCAGGCCAGTGGGTTTTTTTTCTATTCATATGGTTTTCAGTCCTCTAAGCAAGACAGCTAGCTGCAAGAGCTCTTCCTGCTAGTTGCAGTTAGACTCATTTTTCCCATGAAAACTCAGAGCTTATTTTTTTTTTTTTTTGCAGGGGAGCCATCTTCCATCTCTGCTCCCAGGGAAATCCTCCACTTTGGATACTGCTAAACAGTCCCTAATCAGGAATTATTATAATATATTCCCCCTGGCTGTTTAAAGAGAAATATATATATATATATATTGTACAGGCAGTCCCTGGGTTACGTACAAGATAGGGACTGTAGGTTTGTTCTTAAGTTGAATTTGTATGTAAGTCGGAACTGGTACATATTGTAGGGGAAACTCTAGCCAAACATTTCTCCAGAGCTCAGTCTTATTCTTCCACACCTCACTTCCCTCAGTCTTTTATTCTCAAGCTGAGGTGTCTACTGAGAAAAGCCGCTCCGCGTCTCCCTGGTCTGCTGAGGGTGGGTGCTAGCTTTGCGTCTCCCTGGTCTGCTGGGGGGAAGCAGCTAGTGCGGGGTTGCCTCACCCCGTTTGTAAGTAGGAATCCGATGTAAGTCGGATCCATGTAACCTGGGGATTGCCTGTATTCTACAATGCAATCAGCTTCCCTGCCATTTCCAGAAATGTTCCCAGGAGAGGATGTAGCAACCCAGTCTACAAATCACTCAATTTAAAATCTAACCCCTTCTCAATACCCACCATTGAGAATGCCCTTGACAATCCTAGAGCCAAGGGTCTGGTAGGTAGAATGACATAAACCAACCACAGCTAACAATTTATTTAATGAGTTGATCCCTCTTTCCAGTATGAAAATTGTACATGAGCAGTGTGCATTTATAACTAATTTGTTTGCCATTCCTAACCACTTGCCAAATGCTTTGTGCAAATATATCTCAGCTTAATGGCTGCTTGAAAATTATTTGCTGGGGATTCCTCCAAATACTTGATAGTTACAATTCAATATTCCAGGTGCATGATGGTCCATCTAAGTCACATGGTATTGTTTCTCTTTCCTAATTTGATACTCTGCCCTCTATTGATCACTTCCAATCAAAAGGCATTTCATTTTGTAGCAAAGAGTATTTTGTTTTGTGACTAAGTTAATGTTGACAACAGGCCTGCAAATGGTTGAATGAGCAAAGTTTCACTTAAATGACACTTTGATAGGCTTGCCAGGTGTCTGGTTTTGAACCAGGCAGTCCAATATTTGAGCTTTCTGTTCAGGAAACAAATTGAGAAAATATAAATGAGAAAATATAAATGTCTGGTATTTTCTAAATAAGCTGTAATGTAAATTGCAATGTCATGTCAAGCGTGTCTGGTATTTTTGTTGAAACCATCTGGCAACCCTACAGTTTGCGAATAGTGCATAAAAAGGGATGTAAGAAAATTTAACAATGTGTTATTTAGAATTCATTAAATATTTGCCATTATAGGATGTATGTATTCCCACCTTAGTCACTGATCTGGTGGGTGTAATTTGTCTAGTCCAGGAGTGAGCAATAAAAAATGGCGGCCATCACAGGGCACCGCTGCTATATTTACCTGTGCTTCCTCAGGTATCAGCTGATCTCTGCTCTCATTGGCTGTGGATCAAGGACCAGCACACTGTTTCCCCATGATCCCATTGGCTGCGAACAGCAATCCACAGCCAACAAAAGCTGCGATTACCTGATACCTGTAGAGGCGCAGGTAAATATAGAGGAGGGGGCCCACTTGAACTAATCTTGTGAACCAGAATTTGCCCACCCATGGTCTAGTTTTTTAGAAAGATGTAAATGTTTAACAGTGAGAGTAGTTACTCATTGAAACAATTTGCTGGGAGTTGTGGAGACATCTCCAACCATCCCTAACAATTTTTAAATCTAAATTGGAAGTCTATCTAAACAATCTGCTGTAGGAATGATATTGGAGGACTTCCTGATCTGTCTTATATAGGAGATCAGACCAGCTGATTACAGTTGTCCCTTCTGGCATTGGAATCTATTAATCTTCTTTGTGCCTCTGTTTCTTCATCTACTATATATTTGAGAGAGTATGAGTGTCTGTCTGTCTGTGAGTTTGTTTGTTCAAGAACTCCTCCTAAATAGTAAGAGCTAGAACCACCACATTTGGTATGCAGCTTCCTCTTATCATAACTTAAAGCTAGGCAAGAGTTTGGTTGTATTAGATCAATGGGATGTGCCTGCAATGCCATAGTTTCTCATAAAATGGAGAGGGAGGGGTCTGCTAGCAGGGAAAGTTATGCTATATAATGACCACATAGTGGCAGCTAGAGATGGAGACCAGGACAGGTATCAACTCATTGGGCAACAGGGGGCAGGAGTAGAGACAGGGACAGCAATCTACTATATATTTGAGAGAGCTTGTGTGTGTGTCTCTCTCTTGTCCAGCTGGGAGATGTGCATCCCTCCCCTGGCTGTGACCGCTGCAGCTGCAGCAGTCATGTACAAGTGCTTTTCACTTGGCCCTAAGCTGTTGCAGTGACAGAGGGCTGGGGTTTTCCTCTCTCCCAGAGGCAGCCTCCATCCTGAACCCCTCATCCCTAGCCTCACTCCAGAGCAATGATTTAAATGAAGAAAAAACAAAAAAATACTAAATTATTTCAGTTAAGCACCTAAACAACGCCAGGTAAATCCTCTAGTCTGTAATAATGAGGATAATACCAAGTTAGCTACAGATTAAAAGCATCAAATAAAAGCTTTGTATTATTATTTTAGTATTATTTTTCTCACTCTTCACCCTACTCTCCAGGCATATTAGCAAACACTGCTCCCTCTGGCTCTGAACAAAATAATTGCTTTAATCAGACATAAAGAATCACTCAAGAGAAACATGAAGCTACAATTCCTACCTGCCTTTGGGCTGCTCATGGTTGTGTTAATAATTACTTCTGTGCCTCATCAAATTCTATACAGTTTAATTTCTGAGGGCTGGCATGATAATTGGGCTGAAATTGTACTTTAATTGTGAGCTCAATTGTAAAAAGAATGTAAAAGTTTATAAGATGATACAATAACCTGCAACAAGAAATGTTGATGGAAAAAGGAACAAAATGGAGACTAAAAAAAAATTGGTTGGAAGAAAAAGCCTAGTATGATATGATTCAAGGATTGATTTGAAATCATGGTTGGTGAAAACAAAAGCTATGCCAAGATTGGTGTGCTGAATTATTAGACATAACTTGTAGACAAAATAAAATAATGACGGAGTGGGCTATTCCACCCTCCATTTCATATATATATATATTTGGGGATCCTTAAAAAAAGATAATTTGTGGGAAGAACAACAACAACAACAAAAAATCAGAGGGAAGAACAGATGAAGGTGACTGAAGTGAACGTCACATCCTGGCTTTTACTCCCACAATCTGCTAGAACTCCAGACTTTTTTTGACCATTCCAGAGACATGTTCTAACCAACTCGTGTCAGAGAGGGACTCCAGATGACATTGCTGCCACCTCCACCTGAATCCCAGCACCACCTGAGATGAACCAGGTTTGAATTTTAGCAACAGATCCAGCCCATTTCAAGTAACATCTTCTCTTTTCCCCACAAGAATAGTTTTTACCATGTTGAACACCATCTACAAGACTGTTGAACGAGGATTTTCCTTCTAAACCTCTCTCCAGGGAAAGGGAACAAGGGATGTTGTTAAAATGAAAGCCTGACTTAATGCTTTACATTTCAAATGCTTTTCCTTCTGTTCTGTCCTTTAATAAAACATTCAAAGGACTTTTAATAGTGTCTCAGAGGGGTAACCGTTTTAGTGTGTAACTTTAAAAACGAGTAGTCCTGTGGTACCTTAGGGAATGTTTACACTACAAAGTTAATTCGAACTAACAGCCGTTAGTTCAAATTAACTTTCATAGTGTCTATACATGCAAACTGCTAGTTCGAATTTAATTTGAACTAGCGGAGCGCTTAATTCAAACTAGGTAAACCTCATTCTACGAGGACTAAGCCTAGTTCAAATTAAGTAGTTCGAATTAAGGGCTGTGTAGCCACTTAATTCGAACTTAATTCGAACTAGTTGGAGGCTAGCCCTTCCCAGCTTGCCCTGGTGGCCACTCTGGGCACAACCAGGGAAACTCTTCTGCCCCCCTCCCGGCCCTGGAGCCCTTAAAGGGCCACGGTCTGGCTACGGTGCTTGTGCCAGTTGCAAGCCTGCCAGCACCCAGCCAGCAGACCCTGCACCTGGCAAGGCATGAGTCAGCCACCCGCTGCCACCCAGGCCTCTGCCTCTTCCCGGGACCAGGCAGATGGCTCACAGGAGCTTGCCCGGGGCTGCAAGAGGCGGGTGCCCGCCTGGTCTAGTGCAGAGATCGTGGACCTCATCCACGACCTCCGCACTAGGCACAGGAAAGTGGCCGTCTAGGGCAGGAGAGCTGC